ATTTCTACCATGGAAAAGGGTTTCCATGAATAATAGCGTAATTCATTATTGCTATGGGCCCTTTTTCAGCCATTCTCCTACCTATGGATGCAATATTCCAACAGTTAGGCCAGTGTTTAATCCTGGGAAAGCTCTGAGCAAAGCCTGAGAGATCTGCATGCCCATACAACCCTGTGCTTATTTCATCTGAGAATTTGCCATACTGTGTTGAAATTTTCTACTTACAAGTCTGTCTTCTCTATAGATGGTAAGCTCTGTGAAGGCAGAATCTATGTTTTGTTTACAGTTGTACCCTAGTACCTGGACTGGCAGATTCTCGATAAATACTCATTGAATGAATGGGTTACTATTGTTTTACTACCATCAGCATCCTCATAACAGTGACCACCACCACCCCCATCACCACCCCACCACATCACTGTTAACATTACCATTTCCATCACCATCATCGGCATCACTATTGGAACCCCCAATGCCACGACCAAACCATATTTGGTACCTGACCGCTCTGGGCACTCTTCCTTCGTGGACCCAAAGCCTCTGGCTATTTAGAATTGTCTGATTTACACCTTTCTTCACTTATTCCCCCATTTTGAAATTCACCTATTCTAGACCCCATTTTCTTAGGCCCTTTTATTCTACTTAATTTGCAGTAGTAATTGTGTTACTGGCACTGATACGTATGTAGTGGCCCTCTAAAGTAATAAGATCTGAGAACGAGGACAATATCTAGTTCCAGATCAGCCACTTATTTGCTGGGTGACCCTTGAATGATGTCATTTCCAATGGCCTCCGCTTCTTCCATAGAAGACCCGTGGAGAGCCTTCCAGATCTCAGGGACTGGACTGTGTGTATTTCAACACACTGTTGATAAAGTCTCAACCCAAGGAGCCCACCTGTGCTGAGGTGAGATGTCAGGGGTTTCGCAGTGAGTAAGTTTCTGCGGCCGCCGCTGTCATCACAGCAGCAGTGTGCCTCCCTGGACAACTTCTCTGCCCATAATTGCTGCCAGATCCAATCAGTAATGAGTCAGAAATAGACCCCAACAGGTAGCCCCCCAGCAGTGATGCCATACTATTGTCACTGTCTTCCCCTCCCCCCAGCACCATGCTGTTCTTGTCACAGGATGGCATAGGACAACTGTTTTGATAGTCTGACCAGAGCTCAGGGTCCATGCCTGGTTGCTTCAAAGTAGTTCAGAGTCAGGGATGGAATGCTTTACTAAATACCCTGCGAGTGAAATAACTTTTTACTTTTTCTTGATGGCACAGAGCATCCTTCTAAAATTTTCCTGACACACTTCCTGGCAATGTTCTTGGAGGGGACTGTCACATCAAATATAAGGCGGAAGGAAACAGCAATCGATGTAATTTAAAGAACGAAGTATAACTTTGGGCAAGTTTCTTCCCAATTTGCTCTCTAAAAAATTTTTCTTTTAAATCAGTCTTCAGTAGGGCTTTGGTAAAATGAACCACTCAATATTTAGATGAGCCTACATAAAGTCAGCTTAGGTGAGGATCTGACATCCCAGGCCCCACCCCCCAATTAGATTACAGGATTTTTAGACTTTCTTTCTCCTGGGAAAATCCTATAGCCCAAGACTTCTACATTGTCATAACATTTTCTGATTTTGACATCAAAGTGAAGAAAATGCAATTCAATATAAGAACTAAATAAAGGAAAAATAAGAGAAAGCAGAGCATTGCTTTGAAGAAAAAAAGGATGTTTTTCCTGCCACTGGGGATAACGAATATGGTTTGAATATAGAGTCAGAAATTCATGTTAAAGATGAAGTGATGCCTAGGAAGACTGAGTGATTTACCCGGGGCCATGCAGTAAGTTAGTGGCAGAGTCAGAGGAGAGAGGTCTGATCCCACAGGGCCAGGGCCCTTCCCATGTGATGCTGCCTCCACTTTCTCTTCAGTAGAAGAGTGAAACCCAGCAGATTTTGGTAAAAAGACAGATCCTCTATGCAGGTGAGAAGAAAAGGTTAGGGAAACTGAGCCACAGTGGTCCTCATGGAGGGGTGGTCTTGACTCCTAGGGGACATTTGTAGTATCTGAAGACATTATTCATTGTTGCAACTGGTGGCGGGAGGTGCTACTGGAATCCCTTGGGTTGAGGCTAGGGATGCTGCCCAACATCCTTCTGTGCACAGACTGCCCTCACAGCAAAGACCTGTCCAAGGTCATAGACATTGCACAATAGAGACTTTTATCTGGATATTGTACACTTAAAAATCAGATTTAAATTACTATTATTGTCATTAGGAAGTTTACACAACATTAAGTATTATCTGTGGTCACTCAGCATCGTGTACCCACATACTCTCTGCAAGTTCCTGCTAATCTTCAGTCCTGGAGTTTGCCGTGACCACAGTAGATGAATTTGTCTTTGGGGGTCCCAATCATGTGGTTGTGCCTCTTGTCCCCATGCTGCCTCCTCCTGGTGTCCAGTCAGGGCCAGGCTGCTCATCTCTACTCCTTCCTGGCAGCATTTGATCCCAGGAAATTTCTGCCTTCCATCATTTCCATCTCAGCGTGAACCAAGCTCAATGTGTTGCGGCTCTCAAAGCATTTGCATGTCATGATGTGTCTTTGTCCTAGTGCTTGCAGCCTGTGCAAGGAATTTCCAGACTCAGTGACCAGGCTGGGGAGATGTTTGAGAAGAACCCCTGAGACAACTGTGCAGCGGCCTCTTTCTTCCAGTGGACAGGGCCAGCCCCCTGAGAAAATGGACATGGGCCCAACTGCCTTGGAATCAGGGTTCCGGCTAGACTCATGCACTATAAACATTTTCTTTCTGGGCTCTCTAAATCTGTTTCTCATATTTTAAGGCAAATGTTTAATTGAGAAAGTTGAGAATTTTTATCTTTTTTTGCTTCTTTTTCCTTTTATTCTTTGCTTAGCTTTACTCATGTAAATTTACAATTGTAAAGATTTACTTAGCTTTACATTTTCATGTTAGATTTCTAGGATTTGTGAACAGGAGAGGGATTGCTAGTATGACCAGAAAGCAATTGATTTTTTTTTTAAATGTCATCATTTTCATTGATTTTTGGAGGCTCAATATTTTAGTTTCTAAGATCATTTTAACTGAATAGATTTTGGAAAAAATCACAGAACATTTCTAAGGATTAAAGGAAATAATAGATGTGAAAGGGTTTTGAAAACTATCAAACATAAATTTTGTTTATGTAAACAATGGTGGTGGTAGAAATAGAGATATAGTCCAAAACAGCCCAGGCCTCTGTCCCCTGACCCCCGGCGCTTCCCTAAACAAAACTAAAACCAAACCAAACCACCCCCCAAATAGATTCTGTCTAGTTCTAAATCTTTTAATGGGGTTATAGATTTTCAAAATTAGAACTTCATAGGCTTTTCATGATTAATAAAATTTCAAGGCAATTTGCACTAGGATTATGTGCTTAATTCAAGACTTAAAACAGCTTCCACTTGGCCAAATGCCACTACAGAAAGTATTGGGTTAGCTGCTTCGTATTTATCTCCCTCTGCACTGGCTTATGTTAGGCAGAGGTTTTTAGATTAGTAAAAATACACACAATGTTTGAGTAAGCTCAGGCTGATGAGCATACCAATTTAGAATGCTTAAGAAGGAGTTAATTTGTATTCAGCACCGCTAGTTATTTCATCCTGTCATGGTAACTTCAAAGGGGAAGAAAAAGGGGAACTTGTCTGTGAAAGGAGAAAATCAGCAACTGACTGCTGGTCTAATGTGTGTTGTTATAAAGTTATTATAAAGACATTTGCAAATTCTTTACAATTCATTGTCTTTTCATTTTGCAATGTAAACTAATGACAGAAAACAAAACTGCCTTTAGATGTTGGTTTTTACCCTTTTAAGCTCCACTATTTCTGAAATGTACATGTAGCTTAATTATTAATAAAACAAAAGAACTTCTTAAGAGCTAAGCAGAAATTAAATTTCGTATCATTCTCTGTCTAATATTTTTACATTAACAATATTGATTTTATTTCACTCAAATGAAACTCAAAATTCTTCCAAAGACAGAATTTAAAAGAAAAAACTTAAGGAAATTGGTAATATAGGGATCTGTTTTTGCTCAGTCTTTGATTTAGTGAAATAGTACCTGGCTTAATGTTTTTCCAGGAATATTCTGCACATGAATCAGAGCTGCTATGCTTGTATGCACCAAGGGCAGGGTCTGTGCACTCTGTGTGTCGGTATAGTCCAGGATGCTAGGACCTGGGTATCACATCTAATCCATCTCACACACTTGACCCCCCACCTTCCCACTCATGGGGATTCTGTCTCCTCTCCCGAATCTGTTCCACTGCAGCAGTTTTGCATTCTTGAAGATGTTTCAGCATCTCCTAGAGAGTGCAGCGTGGAAAGTACAAACGTCTAGGTTTGGAGTCAGCAGACCTAGATTCTAGCTGAGGCCTTGTCACTATTTTCATCTGTCATCACATTGTTTCCTAACTTGCAGAACAGCCTAAGCAATGCCCATTGTACTTACCTCATGCAATTACTACAAAGAATCAATACCCATTTCATAAGCTGTAAAGCCCTATGGTGAGGTACCACTGTAACAGAAGCTAGACTTCGAAAGAGCCATTTATTTCTTCACTCTTACTGTGGGTGTGAAAATGGAGAAAAACTGTGTTTTGCACATTTTTCTTTTTGGGGTGCTCCTTGATGATTATTTGTTTATTTGATTGATTATAGGCACTAACATTTTGTCATGGACTCCCCAGGACCTACGCAAGAGATTCTTAAGAATAAGTGGCCTATAATATAATATCATCTATCATCGTTTGTCTGAAGCCAAAAAAACATATGGTACTGAAATAAGATTTTATTTAATAGCACATGAAAAGTTCAGGGAATTTCAGTCTCTTAGAAACAAACGTTTATGAAGTGTAGGTCACCATTTCACCAGCTCTTAATGAACTGGCATCTATATCGAGGCAAATGACCTGTGTAATATATTTTAGTCATCAGTGGTAATTGCTTACCATTGCAGACCCAACACGGCTAACTTTGATGGGATTCCCTCTTCCCGAAAGGTCCATTTGTGCTTTGTCCATCACATACAGGCAAGTGTCGAGGATACCATCCTCAAACTATTTGGGAGGAAAAAAAGAAACAGCTTAATATTCACTTTGTAAGCAAGACATTCTCTGCCAGAAATTAAAATGAAATCACAACCTAATGTTTAAAAATGTGTAGTTTCTGTGTAGTAAACACCCATTATCTTCAGCTTGAAATATTAAAGTGGAAGGAAAGAGACATCCTCTTTTATTTTTCAGTTAAAAAAATAAGAACTTAAAAGCAACCTAGAAATACAAACAGCACTAGTGGAGAGCTGTTGTACTCAAGAATCATGAACTGACTTGAAGTTCTTCAGAAACTGTACAACATAATTTAGAGAATCTCTCTGACATATTGGCAGCAGTGCCCAGGGCAAAGGATTAAATGATTTACCAAAGTCAGGCCAAAGTCTCAAGACCTCAAAAATAGCATGAGTCCCTGTGCATCTCAAAAATAAATGGCTCTCAGGTATATCACAAGAAGGTATTTCAGGCCTGGAGAGCATGCACTGGAAATAGTAGACCTTGTATAGTAAATGTCTGTCAAAAGTTTCCCCTTCTTTGAGACCAAGTGAACTCCAGGGTCAAAGAGAAGGCAGAAAGACCTAGAGAAAGGACATTATATTATTAAGGAAACAGCCTTGGTGGTCAGTTCAATTTCCTTAGAAAGAATTGCTAGCCACATGCAATAACAGAATTTGCTAAAAATTGATCAAAGACAAAATAATAGTAAAATAGCAAATGGGAAGATTTCACTTGCACTGTGCCTCACTGTACAGGAAATTTCCCTAAGACAGAAACCTGGCAAATTATCCACTCAAGTATGTGTGACAGAAACCACAATCTAAATGGCTAATTACCATGCAATTCTTCATTAAGTCCAGGTAAAATACCAACTCTGCGTGTACCCTAGACTTACATGACGGATGCTGTAACGGGTAATGGCACTACTTCCTTGGGTATATAAAGAACTAATTATTCTGGTTTTTATGAAGCAGCATCTCTCAGCTGTGTCTGTGGGACATGATAGCATCTAATTGGAGGGGTAAAGAAATAGTCATAGAACTAGCTGTTTCCCTGCATTACTACAAAACTACTGGCTTGCTTGTTTGTTTGGGCTAAAGGACCCAAATTAATGAACTCTGAATTCCAGTAGAGATAGACAGTAGCTGTGCTCAAGGGTGTTTACTGGCATACTGGCTGAGGAGTAGTCAGGCTTGGGATCCTCCCCAATTCTCCATGCTACCCACCTTTACGACTTCCATTCCTTATTAGCTCTGCAGATATTGTCACACTGGGGGCATAAACACCTAGAGATTAGGAATTAGGAACCCAAGGCAAGGGCACCAGACAATAGGCAATAGTCACAAGTTTATGTCACTGCGAGGGGAGGACTTATACCAGGGAGTCAGGTAGGGACCCAAAGAGAGGGAAAGAGCACAGAGATCATTAACTTGGCAGAACATCAGAAAAGCAGGTGGGCAGGCTCGAGTCCTGGGCATGTGCTTCTCAGGAGTCAGAGTGAAGGAGCAGGACACAAAGCCAGGCAGACAAGACAAGCACTGGTGATGGCATGGGTCCCAGTGGTCAGGCTGGAGCAGGCATGAGGGATGCAGGGAGAGCAGATGGAAGCCAAAACAAGGCCTGAAGCTGAGAAAGTATCATGTGACCTGGTGAGGCCAGGTTCTGTGAAATCTTCCCCTGGATACTCTGAACAATGGTGCATAATTCCAATCATGTCAGCCAAAAAATGACATATTCACCTTCTCTCATATTGCTTATGAAAATTCATTGCTGAGTCACAGGATGTGCATTCATTTATGAAGATATGCTAAAGATAGCATTCCTTTGCTCCATGGTTGAAGATCCCAAACTGAAATAGTTTCAATTATTGAATATCTTCAATGAAATGCAATTGCTACTTTATATCTGGACTGTCCCTTGAGGTTGCAGCTGATAAAATGTCTCAAGATAAAAATCCAGTGGACCCTCCTTTGATGAAATGGTAACACTTTTCTAATTCTTTTTCTAATTTCTAATTTTCTAGTATCCTAAACTAACTCTTAAAAAAAGTGATTTCTTTGAGTTGGGCACACACCTTGCAGTAACCTTTGCATCATTACCAAAACACCTTTCTTTTGAAGAAAAGGAAAACATCACTCCATCTGAGCTAAAGAGATTCCACTGTACTAAGATGCCAAAGCATTTCTCACTGGAATGCCACGTTATCCATAGAAAACCTCATCTCTGTAACATTGTAATAACTGAAAAGAGGTGATTTTGGCTGATAAATTATGCAGTTTCCTTTCTAAATCTCTGCTGCTAGGCTCTCTGTCTTGCAGTTTCAGATCTTGCAAGGCAGGAAATTGTGCTTGTCTAATATCGACATATGGCGCCCTGCAGTCATGCACGTGACAAAAAATATTAAGTAAGAATGTCCTTGACAATGACAAATTTTTAATGTCTCACCTGGCCATAGCTCCAGCTTCTACTCTTGATGTCACTGACATTGCCATAAAAAATAACCCCGATGTCATTCAGGACATACTCTTCTCTTTCTTTATCATTATCCAGGTACACAGCATCCTCTGCATCAGAATTTAGACATAATGACCATTAACAAACCAGACTGTTCCCATATACTTGCAAATTTGTTTTGGTTCTAAACTGCAATTTAATCAGCTAACTGAAAATAAAAGTTTTTCATTTCCCAATATGTAATTTTAGCAATGGTGAACCTAATCAATAGCCAAAATCGTGCTGTAAATGATGGCATTTGTCAGCAAAATGCTGTCACACCCTGGCTTTTTAAACTTCCAAGCAGCACAATTAATTGACACGTCTCATTAAACATTTTAGGATTCTGGTGTGTCAGTAATTTCAGAATCAGAACTCTATGATGCAGATACAAATCTGTAACACAGATCCAAAAATAATTTCCAACCTATTCACATTAATAGACAACTAGCCAAATTGAAAATGATTTTAAAAACAAGTCTGGGGCATATGCGAAGACTGTAGCCTAGTCTGCCATGCCTGGCTTGTGCCTGGATTTTGCCTGACAGGGAGAGGGGGCTGGAGGTTGTCCCCTTTCAGTGAACAATCCTTGTGGATGTGTTGGCAAGTGTTGGCAAGTGCCCAGCCAGCCTCCCTGGTCAGTTTCTTCGGCTGCAAGGACTCTTCTCCCCTCCGCTTATAATCTCAGGCGGGCAACATTCCCCATATTCCTACATAGTAATCAGTGTGGTACTTATTCCTAAACCATGTATGAAAGCGACAGAAGCATCTTTACCACAGCAGGACCTTACAGGTATAAACTACACTTGGGTGAATTGCATGTTTGGAAGGGGGTCAATTTTGGTTCTGATCAGGGAAACGGTTCATTACATTTCTTTCTCCCAGGTCATAACTGCCATCCTGATTACCTTTTCAGGGTTCTTTCCTCCTCATTCCCTGGTAAGGCTTTTATCCCTCCCTCGGAATTAGTAGTTGTCAACCTTGGCTGCCCGTTAGAATCATCTGAGTAGATTTAAAAACTCCTGATTCCTGGACTGAACTCCAGATCAATTAAATCAGTATCTCTGGGGGTGGTGGTGGTGGTGGTGGTGGTAAGATCCAGGCATCAGGTATGTTTGTGTGTATATATGTATATATGTATGTATGTATGTATTTAAAGCTCTTCGGTGATTCTGATATGCAACCAAAGTTGAGAACAAGTGCTCGAGCCATTCTTGCTACTCCAAGTAATGGTTAAAAGACCATCTGTGAGAAATGCAGAATCTCAGGCTCTGCTCAGAACCACTGAGAAAGACCTGCACAGACACAGCTCCCCAGGGGGTTCATATGTACGTTGAGGTGCGAAAAGTACTTCTCAGCCAAACTAGCTCAGAACCTTTCTAGGCTATATTACAGCTGTGACTGGGTCTTTTGGAGACTCTTGGGTTTTGTCTGCCCTTCAGTACTTTCTTTTTCTTTTGTCTTTCTGTTCCCTACTCTTGCCTACCACTTGTCAGATTTCATGAAACTGCAATACACACACACACACACACACACACACACACACACACACACACAAATACTTAAATATATATATACTAATGTCCAATAAAATGCACACATACAAAGTATATGGTTTCACAAAGTAGTAATCATACCATCACCTCCCAAACTTCCTTGAGTCCTTGTGTAATTCCTCCTTCCCAATCCTCTTCCAACTTCCCACCCCTGCCAGGGAACCATTATTTTAGCAAGTTTTAGGCAAATTATTTTGAGTTTGTCCATGTGTCGATATCATGTATCAACAGCTCATTCATCCCATCCCTGGACTCATTCATCAACATCCCAAAGCCACCTTATCTTTCTGGGAGAATCAGAGTAACAGGACAAATGTGCCACAGCTTACCCTCAGCCCTTATAAATTTAAGCTTTGATGTTTCAAACTGCTGGGCTTGCCAGGTTCCAGAGGCAAAGCCATGGTTTTACCAGCAATTTCTGTATGGGCCTACGACTCCTAAGCTGAAATGACAACTTCATCTCCAAATGGAACAAACCAGAGAGAACACACAAAGAAGTGACAACTGCATTTACAACTGAGTAAAAGGAAAGAATGGTTTTATTTTTCAAGAGAAAAGAATATGAGAGTGTATGTGAACAGATATTGACCATTTACATGTACACAGCCCTCCACCAAATGCTATCAAAATGTCCTAGAGAAAAGGCCTACTTTTGTTTTTATTCTTTTATGTAATAGTGGTTTAACTGTTGTGACTTGCAGTAATAAACATCTTAGCCAAGTGGGTTTCAAATGCCTTTTGTTGATATAAAAACCTTATTTTAAGACAACTGAGGTCTAGTAGTGGCATTTAGGTAAGTTTTAACCTGTTTTCCTTATTGTAAGAGATGTTGATGGACTTGTCCTGTAAGATATTAGGTATTAGATTGCATTATAAAGCTACAATAATTTAAATAACTGGTATAAAAATACATTAATGGGTCAAAATAATCTAGAAAAAGATGTTATTATGTGTATTTATCTATCTATGAGTAATAAATGATAAAGGAAATATAAATCAAAGCATGTTACTGGAGTGTTCATTAAATTTAGCTGAGGAAACTGGCTGTTTGGGGAAAGTGAGTTTTCTGTATATCAAAATACACTGAAAATTAATTTAAAATCTGAATCTGAAAACAGAAAGCATAGCAATATAGAATAAAAATTTTAAAGGTGAATATTTATTTGGTATCTAGATGTGAAAGTTTTATTTAAAGCAAAACAGTAATAGACTCACAGACAGTGAAAAGTGACTGTTGGTTACCATAGGGGAGCAGTTGGAGTGGGAGGCAAATAGGTAAAGGGAATAGAGAGGCACAAATCTCAATCATAATATAAATTAGTCATGAAGATGAAAATACAGCATATAGAAAATATAATCAATAAGTTGTGTAACATCTTTCTATGTTGACAGATAGTAACTACACTGGTTGGGGTGAGCATTTAATAATGTATATAACTGTTGAATCATTATGTTGTATATTTTAAACCAATATAATATTGTATATCAACTATACATCAATAAAAAATATGTAAAAAATAAAACAAAAATAATAGAAATAATCAAAAGGAAATGATCAATACATTTTATTTAATATAAATGTAAAACTTGAATTTCAGACAAAATAAAATTTAAAGTATGTAACAAACGAGAAATATTTGCAAGAACAAAAATGTTAGTAAAATTTTCCTGTATGTAAAGAATTCCAGTAAATTGATAAGAAAATCATGAAGTATATAAAAGAAAGTCAACAAAGGAAAAGCCAGTTCACATAAGAGGAAATGAGAACATAAACATATAAAAATAATTTTAACTGTTTATCTAAGAACTACAAATATTTAAAAGGAAATATATATTATATTCATTTATTTGTGTATTTAAATTGGCAATTGTATGATTAGCCTTGAAAATATTCATGGTATTTGATTCAGAATAATGAATCTATCTATCCCATGGAAATATAATGCAGATATGCAGCAAAAATGCATGCGTAGAGTTTGCTCATCAGAGCATTACCTATAAGTGAAAAACTCAGAAAAAATATGAAATACCCCTAATAAATTATTTGTCCACAAAATTGAATAGTATATATCCACCAAAATATAGTTTGGAAAAAATATTTGATCTTGCAATGATACCGGAATTGCACCGGTAGCAAGTGAAAACCTAAATGTGGGGCACAAAATCATGCATAAAATATGTATAATTATGTGAATATTAATTAAAACATCTGGAAATAATTTGGTAATGAAAATGGATGCATTCACCTATCTCCATGATTACTGAAGATGCCTTGAAATTACTGATAATTATACATACTAAATTAACAATTTTAGGGGTGAGGAGCAAGAAAGAATGCCAGCAGAATCTCCAGAAGAATTGAGGAATTTCTAGAATAAAAACATATATATTAAGATAGTATGATAAAAGGCATGGGAGATGTCTAGACAATCCAACACTTACCTATAAGGCATTTTATTACAGGATAACACAGAAAATAAAAAGAAGAAAATGTGTAAGAGTTAAAAAAAGAATCGGAGAGACTTGTCAAACTGAAAAAGGTCATAGTGTATCAAACATGATAAATGAAAAAAGGGCCCATACATAGATACAAACTGTTTAAATGTCAAAACTTCAAAGAAAAAACAAAAACTTTGAAGTCAAAAGTTTAAAAATACTAACTGTAAAAGAATGAGAGTAGATCGAAATTGTATTTTCATAGACAAAACTTGCTTTTTTGGTAGTGGATTTTTCATAGGTATTATTGGATGTTAAAAGGTAAAGGAATAATATCATGGACATGCAAATGGATATGTGATTTCACCTAGAATTCTATTCCCAGCAAAAATGTCATACAAATGAAGATCAACAAAAAGGCATTTTTGGGACCTGGAAGGACTCAGAAATTTGATTACTTGCACATTGATGCTTGAAAAGTCATTCAGAGATGTACTGAGAAGGATGAAAATACAAGAGCATTATAATTACTTACTATATTTAGAAATATTAAAAAACATTAATGACACAAAACTAAAATTGCAGATAATTTTGACATAGGAAATGGTAGGGCTGAGTGGAGAAAAGGTAAGTAAATGTTTACAAAACTTCTTTGCCATGTCTTCAAGGAATCACATACATTAATTATTTTTTAGGCACTCACAGAAAATATAAGATTAAATATGTGATTTAAATTTTAAATTTTTCTTCAACACATGAAGATACTCTTAAATTTTCTCAAGTAAGATGGGAAGAATTAAAGCTGCAGCTGAAGTACTATTTCTCTTTTCTTTTTTAGAGTGGTAAAATGCAAAAATTTGCCAGCATACTCTAATGAAATGTTGGGGAGAAGAAAAAATACCATTATATATGACTTGTAGTAATGCAAAGTGTTATGCATTTATAGTTAGGCTTGGAGAAATAAATTCTAGGAATCTGTCCAAAACACATGAAACACCATACACTCAAAGCTATTCTGTACAGCATTATTTGTAATAGCAAAAGCCTGTAAAGAGCCTAAATATCTGTCCGTAGGCACC